GCATTTTCCTGCTTATCCACTTGTATAATTCTAGTTATTTGTATGTTCACTTCATTCCACTGACAAGAAATGTATTGAATGTTCTTTATGAAGATTACCAGGGAAGTTCTGGCCTGTTTCAGCCATATCCTAATAGTACATTAGCAGATATTACTCAGCAATAAACTCTGAGTTTTAGATTCTTAAAGGTATAATTTTCACTGCATTAATCTGTACCGTTTTCCACAGCTCGACGGGTGCCATGTTAATTTGTTTATATGTTGCTTTATAGGTGGACCAAGTGTTTTCATTATTTTTTTTAGACTGGCTGTTTATAGGCTCCTCCAATGCACTGTAAAGTCTTCAGAGTAATAACATTGTTTATTTTTAAGGGACACTTACATTCTCTACCTAATTTAATTCTTGCAGCAATTATGTAAGTTGGCCAGGACAGGTACTATTTTATATCTAATGAAACAGGGGCCCAGTGAAGTTAGCTACTTATCTGAGGCCACACAGTGATCAAAAGCAATGCTGGAGTCTAGGCTCAGGACCCATGCAAGGTACATTTTATTTGATTACAAGATAGGCTCAAGACCCAAGCAAGGTACAATTTATTTGATCACAAGATCCCTCTCAAGAGTTGGAAATTTGTTTTTTCTTTCTTATTCTTTCTAGGTAGCCTTGTATAATATTCAGCAACTGAATATCCCTAACTTAAAAGGGAGACAGAGACAGAAAGGAGAAGATGAGCCACAGGACTCCTAGGATAATATTTAGAGAATGCCATACTTTTTTTTTTTTTTTAAGTAGGCTCCATTCCCAGCCTAATGTGGGGCTTGAACTCACGACCATGAGATCAACACCTGAGCTGAAATCAAGAGTTGGACACTTAACTGACTGAGCCACCCAGATGCCCCATACTTTTCTAATTATAGCATTCATTATACTTAGATACATGCATACTGTTTACTCTCCCACTCCCAATTTTCATAAGAGCAGAGATCATGTCTATATTGTTCATTCATTGCTATAAAACCAGAGTCTAACATATATGTATTTGACATACAGCAGGAACTTCACAAAAAGTTATTGAAAAAGGAACAAAAATTTCACTGCCCCAAGAAAAACTCAAGCTCTGTGCTCAGCATGGAGTCTGCTTATGATTTTCTCTCTTCCTCTCCCTCTGCCCCTCCCTTCTCTCTTTAATAATAAATGAATAAATCTTTAAAAAATTATTTGTGTAAAAAAAAATTATTTGTGTCAGTGTTTTGGAAATTATTCTGGTGACACAGAGAAAGGACATCTGGGCTAGCAATTCTGGAGAGAATAGGCTGAACTATGGAAAAAATCTATGCTAGTATTCCAGGCCCCTGTTTAGGCATGAGGCCAAAAGTAGCATACAGATACTCACCTGGAAAATTGCTGATACAAATTAACAAGAAAAAAAAGTTGTGGGTGTGTGTGTGTGTGTGTGTGTGTGTGTGTGTGTGTGAGGTGGCATTAATGCCTTAGTAACTCTAGCAAATCAAAACCTAAGTCTATATTGCCCGAAGGTTAAGAAATAAAAACCTAAGAACAACCAATCACAAACAGCAAGTCAGACTTTCCCAAATAAAGTAGCTGCTTAAGTTAGAGTTAGATAATTTCCTTGCTTTGCTTTCCTCTCTTATCTATAAAGTCTTGCCTCTAGCTCCTATCCGTGGAGCACTCCAAACCATTTCTGGTTTGGGGATGTCCAATTCCAATTGATTTTTGCCCAAATAAACTCTTAAAATGTTTAATATGCCTCCGCTTACCTTTTAACAGTTCCATTTTGGTGGTTCATTAGCCCAAATCTCAAATGGCTTACTCAAGACTCACATGTCCTCACTATATTTAATAAGCCCCCATGCCACCCACTTGCCCAAAGTCTCATAACCTGTCTTGGGCATAATTTCCTAATAGTCACTACTATCAAACCATTGAATTCTTTAAAATATAAAGTGAAATACAAAAGAGCTCAACTTAATGAAGACATGGAGTGTTGATCCTTTTGGACATTATGGAATGATCCCTCCTGCTGAGTACATGTACATTTGTACTACATTTAGCTTCAGAGATTCAAACAGCCTAAGTATATGATTCAAAAGAATTCAATTCTTTTGAATTGAATTCTGTGAATCCAATTCACAGAATGGAAGAAAATTCAAAACTACTGGCGTTGTTATCAACTGTGGTAAGATATGGAGTGGTATGGTTTTCTTTTTATTTATTTATTTATTTATTTATTTATTTATTTATTTATTTATTTATTTAAGAGAGAGAGCATGAACAGGGGGAGGGGCAGAGGGAGAGGGAGAAACAGGCTTCCCCCTGAGCAAGGAGTCCTATGGGGAGCTCAGTCCTAGGAGCCTGGGATCATGACCTGAGCCAAAGGCAGATGCTTAACTGACTGAGTCACCCAAGATGCCCCAGTGGTATGGTTTTCAAATGTAATTCCAAGGACTGCAATAACATCAAACACATACATATTCTTCAGGGCCACCTAACTGATCTTGTTTATCATATGACTGTGGGTTATAGTCTATTAGAATAAGAGGATATAGCATGGTCATGATGTTCTCAAATGCTGGGCATGCAGTTTTCAAAGAACTTAAAAAGAAGGTCAAAATGCCAAGCACAATTCAAAATGTTTTAGGTTTCCAAACTTAAAATTTCCCACATCAACAGTTCTTGTTGTTGCCAAAAGTGTTCACATTTGTGAGAGCAAAGTCCTTCATTATCTGGTCCAAATATTTGAGATATTGCAAAACAGGGTACTACATTATTGATGAACGGTCAAAAGTGACTTAATTGTTGGGGCACCTGGGTGGCTCAGTTGGGTAAGTGTCTGCCTTTGGCTCAGGTCATGATCCCAGGGTCCTGGGATCGAGCCCTGCATCGGGCTCCCTGCTCAGTGGGGAGCCGGCTTCTCCCTCTCCCTCTCCCTCTGTCTGCCGCTCCCCCTGCTTGTGTTCTCTCTGTCAAATAAATGAATAAAATCTTTGTTTTTAAAAAAGTAACTTAATTGTATTTAAACCCCAGCCACCAAAATGCTCCATCAACATAAAAGGCCAAGACATGTACTAGAATGTACATAGTAGCACTATGGGTCATAGCTACAAACTGGAAACTACTTTAATGTCTTTCAAAAGAGTGAATTCATAAATTGTGGTATAGTCACAGAATGGAATAAAATGAATGATCTACAACTACATGCAACAATATGGAAGAATCTCATAAGTATAAAGTTGAGTAAAGAAGCCCAACACAAAAGAATGCATACTCTATGGGGCGCCTGGGTGGCTCAAATGGTTAAGCGTCTGCCTTCAGTTCAGGTCATGATCCCAGGGTCCTGGGATTGAGTCCCGCATCGGGCTCCCTGCTCCTTGGGAGCCTGCTTCTCCCTCTGCCTCTCTCTCTCTCATGAATAAATAAATAAAATCTTAAAAAAAAAAGAATGCATACTCTATGGTTTTATATATGTCAAGTACAAAGACAGTCAAAACTAAGTCTGCGTTGTTGACATTCAGGATAGGCAATGACTGGAAGGCATGATGGGGTTCCTGGGTGTTAATAATGTTCTGTTTCTTGATCTGTGTTGGATACAAAGGTGTGTTCGGAATGTGAAAAGTCATTGAGGTGTATACACAGCTTAGAATGTGTGTACTTTTCTGCATATATATTATGCTTCAATAAAAAGTTAACGAAAGAAAATTCTAGGAAGCCCACGAAAATTGAATCTCAACCCAGCATAATAATCCTCCATGTCATTACCAGAATTTGTGGGTCATCAATGTGAGAATCAGTCTCTAAATCGAGTAGTCAATGAACTGGATCCAGAACAGTTGTCCCAGGAGCAGGATACTTGATATGTCAAAACAGGCTAATAATTTCCCTTTAAAATCTCCAGTCTCTCTGCTTTTCCCTTCCTTCAGTGATATCACCATAGCTTAAGCCAGGTCATCTCCCACCCTGAATTTAATCTGAGACGGTCTCCTCACCAGTTTCCCAATAGCCTATTCTACTGGTTCTTTACACATTAACCAAAGTGATGTAAAGTCTAAACTAGATCCTTTTATTTCTTGCTTAAAATGCCTCAATAAAGTCCCATTACATTTAAAACGTAAAGCAAACTCCAAGACTTGTGTATATGGTTTGGCCTCAGTCTACCTCACTCATCTCATGTCATGCTGCTCTCCCCCGCCCTCTGTGCTAGAGCCATACTGGTCTTCTTCTGTTCTTCCAAAATGTCAAATTGTCGCACCTCAGGACCTTTGTCCACTCTCTGCCCAGAACAATCATCGCTTTACAGGTTCCTTGGCTGACTGATTTCATTCTCACTCTTCAAGTCCCCGATTAAATGGCATCTTATAAAGTTCTCTTATAACAACCCTCCTTATCTAATGTCAACCCCCTATTATTCTTTATATCCACACTTTGTCTATTTCCGTCCTTGACGTGATTCTTGTTTCATTTGCTTGTTTACCTGTTTGTTTGCTCCCTTTTCCTCATAAGACTGTAAGTTCCGTGAAGGCAGAAATCACGTGTATTTGTGTCAGGATTGCAGCGCCAATGCCTAGCACAGTGTCTGGCATACAAAAGGTCCTCCATAAACATAGAAATACTTGTCGAACGAACGAATCGACATTCCCAAGGGATCACAAGATGCCTGTTCAGTCACGAAGAACATTGCACTGTGAGTTTTCCAAAGAATAGCAGTGAAACCAGATGCCTTTCAAGCCCTTCTGCCCAGGCAAAGTGTTGGCATTCGCTCTCGGTTTCCTAGTTGTCATAACGACTGCCCCCTAGCCACAAGGGACACACACCCCTCCTCGACAGGCTGGCGATTTACCCAATCTCCCGATCCCACCCACCTCCCAGGCGCCCCTTCATTGGCCCTAGCGTCGAGGCCTTCGGGAGGGGCGGGATGTCACCTCGAGCCGCTACTGGCTCGGGTCGACGTCCCTCTACCGCGAGCTGCTAAAAGTCAGCCAAACCAAATTGCAGTTGCGGGGAGGCTCGTTCCTGTTGGACTCTATGATTGGCTACGACCGAGGGCCTGGGCGGCCGACGCCCCGCCTCTCCGAGCGCGGTTTGGCCAGAGCTGCCGTCAGTCAGCGGGAACAGACTTCCCTCTCCATCTGGCTCACAGCAGGCGAAAAATTCTCGAGATTTTCCAGCAGAAGAGCCAGTGGCTGTTCTAGCTGCTCGCTCCAGAAACCAGAAATATCGGGGAAGGCAATCTTATTTACCCAGCAGGAAAGTCCCTTCCCCGCCCTCCGTGGATTCATTAGAAAATTTCCAGGGACGTAACCATCGCGAGGTAAGAGCCTAGAGAGTGCACTTCATTTATTTCTAACAGTTTATGATATTATTTATAGGCGGGGTCGCATGCCAGCGCTCAGGGTCTGCGGAATGGAGAGTAAACGGAGAGTTCGTCAGGGAGGGAAGGGGAAACGTAGGTTTAAATCCCCCAGCCCCACAGTCAGCGTCTGGGTTCTCTGTGCGCCGCTTTCTTCTCTTTGGAGGTCATGAGTAGCGTGTCCTGTCGGGGCCCACCCCGGCTGTGCTGCAGGCAGTGGGCGTTTCCCGCCGAGACCCCCGCACTCGGCCTTGAACTTGACTGCAGGCTGGGGGCGTCACCATTGCGAGTGGAGTGGGCCGGGGTTGGAAGGCAGGAGGGACCATGGACTGGATGGTGGAAAGGCCGGGGGCCGCTCGTTCGCGTTTCTCCGTAGGGAGGATCCGGGTCGCCCTGCTCGCACCCCGGACGTCGCCGCCCCAGATGCAACCGGGGTGAGGGAGACGTGGCGACACCCGAGATCTGTGCGGGGAGAGGGTGGTTGGGAGGCGGAGACCGGGCGGCGGAAGGTGCTGGAGGGAGTCCAGCCATCTGCAGTGCTGCGCGGGCGGGAGGGTGTGCTTCCTGCAGTGTATCACCCTGGCTACTCATCTGTCACAGCCAGCGAGAAAGCCCGGGATCCTGAACTGTCCGAGGGCGAGCGTTTCAGGGGACAGGAATAGAGCAGGATGCAGAGCCCTGCTTGGTGTCTATCTGAGGGTGTGGGTTTTGCTTTGCCAAGAGAGGCCTTGTGGCTGGTGGTGGTTTTTTTTTTTTTAGCAACCGCTCGTGTAGATGAGAGATTTCACAGGAGGCGACAAAGACGAGATTCCGGGTGGAAATAGCCGGGGAATTCGGAGTCCCTAAAGCTCCACTGGCCTTCCTGAGCTTCATATTGAAAATGTGCAGCAAGGCCTCTTAAGCCCTTTGCACCCATCCTCCACCATCCTCAAGAATGAGATTGTCGCCGGTTTCAGAATGAGTGACAAGTGACGGATTATAATGGTCTTGAAGAAGAGTAGTGATGTCATGGTATTAGAGGAAGAGAACAGATGCACCACTGGGTAATAAAATAGTTATAGTTTTGAGTAGTGAGTTCTTGCTAATGATTTTTTTCTTGCTACCAGAGTCACTTTCTATTGATGACCGACACAGGCACCTCCCTTGACTAGAATCTTAGAGAAGAGGGGAGAGGTGCCGTTGATGTCGTGTCGAACGTCAAGGAAAACCCTTAAAGAAGTATAAAGGTACAGGTTTGGAATGTGGTCTGTGAGTTGTATCCACATTAACAAAGATGTTTTAAAAGATATCTATGGACATAGAACAATGAGTACTTTTCAGGACTTTCGTTCCTCTATTCACACATCTAAACATGTTCACATCAAACCCAAGGGGACTCATTTGGGGTTTTTATTGTCGTTCTTTCCCTCATGTAGACTATTAAAATTTGTTTCCCTTCCTCCCAGCAGAGTACTGATAAGATATTGGAGTCAACATTTCCTGAAATACTTTTGGGAGGTTTCCATACCATTTGAATTTACTGGGATGCATTGGTTGTCTTTAAAAAAGTTGATAAAGAAATATTTGCTTTGAGGGCGCCTGGGTGCTCAGTCGTTAAGTGGCTGCCTTCGGCTCAGGTCATGATCCCAGGGTCCTGGGATCAAGTCCCGCATCGGGCTCCCTGCTCGGCGGGAAGCCTGCTTCTCCCTCTCCCACTCCCGCTGCTTGCGTTCCTGCTCTCGCCATCTCTGTCTCTGTCAAATAAATAAATAAATAATCTTTAAAAAAAATATTTGCTTTGAGAATATTAAAATTATCTGTTGTTTTCTTTGCAGAAGTTACTGATGTAAAGATACCTGAGTGCTGCTTTATAATGGGCAAATATGAATATTTTCTTAAATATTTTTGCTGGAGAGATCAATCTAAGAAGTTTTCTGTAGCACTGAACCGTAGAATGCCTGAATAATTTTGGCATACACTTAAAATTACAACAAAAATTTGCCCTTTTGACCTTTCAGCAGTCAACAGTTTAACTCAAATCCCAAGTGTATCCTCCTGACAGAGACAGTGAGTGACTCTCTTATCCAAAAATAAATTTGGACAGCTCTGAGATATTTAAACCATTGAGGGATTACAAATGGGAGTGATATGAAGATGCAAAATTGGCATAGCAATCTTGTAGCTGTAAATTGTGGCTTTTCTTCACCACCTTTTATTTTTAAATCAAGTATGTACTTCAAAAGTTCACTACAAACCAAATGCATTTTTTTCCCTTCCTGATGCATTTCACCTGAGATTTCCTACTCTCAGGATGTGGGTTTTCAGCAGTGCCCTCACGCAGAATCTGTGCTTACTCTTGTGGTCTATGAGCTTACTCCCAATTTAACCCTCTTTGCTGAGAATCCCTTCCTCTAGTCAGAATTGTTAAACCAGGTGCCAACATTTTTCGCTGGTCAAGAGTTCTGTGTCAGGACTTTCAAGTATCATATTAAACTGTTAAAACATTAAGGAAGAAGATGGAGAAGGCCTGGTCACAAATCAGTGTGAAAATGATGAAAAAGAAAGATATTTTCAGGCATTTACTTATTGACAGTATGTAGAATATATAGGGTTTCTGTGTGTGTATATATATGTGTGCATACTCACACATTTTCTTTTTTTTATTTTAAAAGATTTTATTTATTTGACAGAGACAGAGAGAGCGAGAGCAGGAACACAAGCAGGGGGAGTGGGAGAGGGAGAAGCAGGCTTCCCGCTGAGCAGGGAGCCAGATGCGGGGCTCGATCCCAAGACCCTGGGATCATGACCTGAGCTGAAGGCAGCCGCTTAACGACTGAGCCACCCAGGCACCCCATACTCACACATTTTTAAAAATTCATGTGATTAAAGTAAATTTGTGGGTCCTGCATTTTTATTATGACTGGGAAATAAGGGATTTGGAAAAGTTTAGAAGGAAGATTGTCCATTTTCTTTTTCCTTTTGGTATATGACTATCAATATAGTTTAGGTTGCTGATATAAATAACCTGTCACTAGGATTCTAGCCAAGTTCTTTATCTTTATTTTCTTGCTTAGCATAGTTTTTGCATTTTATTTTTGCTAGTTGAATATGATGTGTGGGTAATGTGTTCTTGTGCTCTTAGTTGATTTAACTCTTGCTCTGCCATTTTTGTGTCTTCAAATGGCTTTCAAGCAGAATTACTTCTGCCCTTTTATTCTTTTGGATGACTTTTACTTTCAAAGCTTGCATATAAATGTTAAAATGGTTTATAAAAATAAGCTAGCCTTGGGGTGCCTGGGTGGCTCAGGTCACGGTCCCAGGGTCCTGGGATCAAGCCCCACATCGGGCTCCCTGCTCAGCAGGAAGACTGCTTCTCCCTCTCCCATTCCCTCTGTGTTCCCTCTCTCTCTGTGTGTCTCTCTGTGTCAAAAAATAAATAAAATCTTTAAAAAAAAAAAAAAGCTAGCCTTGATTTCTGACTGAGATATTGACATAAAGGATTCCTGAATAAACTTTTTTTTTTTTGCAGAATGATAAACACATGCCAATTTATAATTGCTGAACTGACAAATAATAAAAATATCATGTCAGTTTGTTCTCCACTCTTTTTGTTACGAAGAACACTGATGTGTTATTTTTTCTCCCACAGGCTTTGGGGTTTTTTTCCACGTCATAAATTATACTCTCTTGTCTGCTAGTCAGTGTGTAGTCATATCTATGGGCATTTTGGAGAACTGGGGGCAGGTGATGACTAGATTCCTAGCTTGAATCTCTGGAGGAAACTTTTCTTGATGTGCAGGTTTAATTCAGAGTAGTTATTGAGCTTGGGAACACAGGTCCTCTTTGAATTGTTTCCCTAGAGAATGTGGAGATTAATATGATTTAGTTATATTACATTGGAAATATACAAAGTCACCTGCTTGCGTAAGTGGTGCTGATCTAGTTTTGTAATCTAGCTATATATCTGGCTCACGTTTCATCTAGGCCAAAAGTATTCCCTAAAGTAAATGTTTTCCTATGACTACTCTGCTTACTTTCTGAGGTGATTGTGCAGATAATAAATGAGGAGGGAGGCCAGGTTGATGATTGATTTTAGTCCAGCGAGGCTTTTAAAGAAACTGTCCAACTTGCATTTTATTTCATTCTTTTTTTTTTTAAGATTTATTTATTTATTTCAGGGAGAGAGAGAGCTGTAGTGTGAGGAGGAACGGGCGGGGGAAAGAATCTCCAGTAGACTCTGCGCTGAGCACAGAGCCCAACGGTGGGGCTGGAGCCCACAGCCCATGAGAGCAGGACATGAGCCGAAACTGAGAGTCCAATGCTCACCCGACTGAGCCATCCAGATGCCCCATTTTATTTCATTCTTAAATAATGTTTCCAATGGATATTTGTTTCCTGCTAAAAATGCAGCTGACACTGTGAATTGTGTAAGATGGATGAATCACAGACCTGTACCCCTGAAACAAATAATATATTATATGTTAATTAAAAAAAATAATAAAATGCGGCTCTGGAGGTTTTTTTTGTTTGTTTATTTGGTTGGGTTTTTTTTTTTTTTTTGGAGGAGAGAGTGAGAGAGAAGAAAGAGAAGAGTGCCCTAAAAGAGCTGCAAAAAATTTACTCAATATTTATTTGCTTCTAATTCTAGAACTCTTGTTTAAAGTAGGTGAACGACTGCAAAATGGCCCAAGGCTGAATATAGCCTTCATGATTTCAGATTGAAGCCAAAAGAATAGTACTTTGCTTATACAAAAACAGACTCATTATATTGTGCCCCTGAAACTAAAAAAATGTTGTATTGTCAGCTATAGCTAGGTTTAAAAGAAGAAAGAATCATACTTCACTAATTTCTGGTGCACTCTTCAAATATTAATGGTTTCTAATAAATGTATCTTGAAAGTTTCATTTTTTTCTTTATGGTATAAAGTTGCTCTGTAAATTATCTCCATCAATAATCAGTACTTAGTTCCCTAGTGTAGACTGTATTATAGTTTGAAATTTCTTCACAAGTCCTTACCTTTATTTAACATAGTTTTTGTTGCTGAATGAAAATATCACCTTCAAACAGAAGCAAAGGAATAAACACCTTTTTTTGGTAATTTAATGTGTAGCTTCTCTTTCATACTTGATAACCAGAGATACTATGTCTCCTCCACTCCTAATATTGTCATAGAAGTGAGTTTCAATCTTTTATACATGATATTAGCTAAAAGGCCAAGAAAGAATGGCCTCCTAAGTCTTTCATGATACATTAATTCTTTGGGAGGCCTTCTTTATACTAAATTCTATGACGGCAGGGCCCATATGTTTTTCATTGCATGGATATCTAAGGGAGTTCTTTGGAATTTCATCTTTTCTTTCTACTGTTTTATTTACTATTCTTACACAGAGCTAGACTGATTTCCAAAGATTTATTTGAAAATGATTATTTGAAATCTGCAATGCATTTACTTACGGGTTCACTCAAGTTGGGCTTTGTATGTGTGTGTATGTGGTTTTGCTGAGATATTTTTTCAAGTCCACTTTGTATCATGAAATAATTCAAACATGCAATTGAGAGTAATATAATACCTGTATACCCTCCACCAGCATTATCAGTCTTGACATGCTATCTTTTCCAGTTGGTTTTTAATACATAAAGTAACAACAGAACAAAGTACCGTGGTGTTGAATTTTTGCTTAGAACCTTATTTATGTGGAAAACTGCCAGAAACACAGCCCTTCCTGCAGGGGTGTAGGAATTCCCCCTGACAACACCCAGGGGAGGATTCAGCTTTGGGGCAGAGTCCAGAAATGGGGGTGCAGAGTAATAGTTTCAAAGAAATGTGGTCTGGGCTCGGGCGCTAGCTCCTAGTCTGCAGGGCACGCAAGGGCTGGGCTGCTGGGCTGGGGTAGATGGAGACCAGCAGCTGTTAATGTAAATGCATAGATCAGTTGCTCATAAGTCACAAAGGTGGTGTCCCCTAATCCAGTGATCACACACATTGGAACTGGCTCATCCTTGTGCCTGTGGGAGTGTTTGCATGAACCATTCTACATTAACCATAGTAATGAAATATGTGAAGGTTATTAAGTTGACAAATCTTAAAAGAAAACAGAATTTAGATCCTAGATTGTGTCTTTGCTAAAACTTGGGCACTCTGAGTACAGAACTGTCCTATTAACCAATTACTTTTCTTATTTCTTTCTCCCTTAAGAGACTTTGATACTGTCAACATTTGCCCCGACGCTTTCTTTAGAGCAATGGAGTTAATGAAGGGAAGAATATTTATTTACACCCATATTTTATATTCTTGCTATGCAAAGTATGGGCCTGCTGGATCAGCAGTTTGCTGTCACCAGGGAATTGGCTCGAAATGCAGAATCTCAGGCTCCACCCCAGGCAGACTGAATCAGAATCTGCCCTTTAACAAGTTCCCCGGGTGACTGTAGGTTAAAGTTTGAGAAACACTTGTTCTATATGATATATACACATTGTCACATTTTTATAGAATTTAAACACTGTGAAAGGGGTAGGTAAATCAGTTTTGGTTTTGATCCACTATTCTTAGAAGTAGGCTGTTAGATGCCACATTCTTTATGGCCTTAACGTTTTGGTAATATCTAATGATACATCAGTTATATGTGGAATTACTGATGGAATCTCTCTCTTTCTCTCCCCAGTCACATCATTTTTCTTGAAGACATTCCATTATTGTTCTATTGACCTTTCCCTCATTCCTGAGTCCTTTGGAGTTGAGTTATGTCCACAGCTGCCTTAATTACTTTGGTTAGAAGTGGTGGGAACCACGTGAGAAGGAGAGTGCTGCTAAGCTCCCGCCTACTGCAGGACGACAAGCGGCTGACGCCCACCTGCCACAGCTCCACTTCAGAGCCTAGGTGTTCTCGGTTTGACCCGGATGGTAGTGGGCGTCCGGCCACTTGGGATAATTTTGGGATCTGGGATAACCGCATCGATGAGCCCATTCTGCTGCCGCCCAGCATTAAGTACGGCAAGCCAATTCCCAAAATCAGCCTGGAAAACGTAGGCTGCGCCTCGCATATTGGCAAACGGAAAGAGAACGAAGACCGATTTGACAGCGCTCAGCTGACAGATGAGGTCCTGTACTTTGCCGTGTACGACGGGCACGGCGGACCTGCAGCTGCTGATTTCTGCCACACCCACATGGAGAAATGCATCATGTATGTACAATGACTTTTCGCTCTTGACTTTGCAGTTTACCTTATACTTCATGTTTAAACTTTAACCCTTTGGCCGAGATGATGTTCACTGGTTCCATACTGTTGTTTTACGAACAAGCAGTGGCTGAAGCATGCCCTTTATTACTGGTTGTTACCACCATTCCGCAGTGTATGTTTTGACAACTCACCTGGTGAAAGCATTGACCAGGATCAACAACACTTTGATTTGTGATCGTATCAAGCTATATAGTACAGGATCTCACGTATTAGGAAAAGCATTTACTCCAGTGCAGGGCATATAGTACTTCAATAAATGGTAATTCTTTCAAGGGGTATGAATGGCTTTAGATGATTGACAGTAGGATGGGGAGAATGCATTTAATGAGGGTGTTTTGGAGCTCTTTAAAAAGTTTATTTACTGCAGTAATTACTAACGTATTTTGGGGATCATATGACTTGGATTAAAAGAGGGGGAGAACATATGACTATTTCTTGTCTTCCTGTAGTTATTCATGCTGTTCATCAGTTGATTTATTCATATTTTGAACTCAGTGGCGTACATTTATTTGAAGGAATTTTGACCTCTCAGGGTTGTGGATAGAGTATTAATCTTTAAGGACGGAAACTTGGACTTTTATTTTATTGTTCTTAAAGGCCTATCTCCGTGTCTAGTTATTTCCTAACTTGAGTTGTTAATCTGTGGATGTTAAGCATCTGAAAGGCAAACGATGGCGGTCCATTGTATGGAGTAACAGCTAGCCAGAGGGACCTAGATGAAGAAGAGAAACCTATTATAAAATGATTGTTTGGGACTCTTTTTTCCTCTCCACAAAGGGATTTGCTTCCTAAGGAGAAGAACTTGGAAACTCTGTTGACCTTGGCTTTTCTAGAAATAGATAAAGCCTTTGCAAGGCATGCCCACCTGTCTGCTGATGGTAAGTAAAACAATCACATTCCTTAGGGTCTTGGGGCATGTCTAATGAAAGGAAACAATTTAAGCCCTTTAGGGGTGGGAATGCAAGTTTATTTGTGAGGATGCTTATATTGAAAGTGATTTTATATAAGAAATAACTTTAAATGCTGTTTGGAATCCAGTGTAGTGTTAGTACCTCATTTTTAAATGAAATATATTGGACAGTTTTTAAAAAATTGAAGCTCTAAAATGGTTCTGATATTGAATTTAAATTTTAAAAAGATTAAAAATTTTTTAAATTTGCTCTTTATGTGGACAGGAGGTCCATAGTATGGGAGGGTTTAGTGTTTTGGTTTTTTAGATGAATCTGATGAGTAAGTACTGAAATAGACTATAGGGTAATCTCATTTAGCCACATAGTAATTGTTCAGACAAGAAGAAGATTGCTAACTGGTCCTAAATAAGAAAAGACAATGGGGGGCGCCTGGGTGGCTCAGTCGTTAAGCGTCTGCCTTCGGCTCAGGTCATGATCCCAGGGTCCTGGGATCGAGCCCCACATCGGGCTCCCTGCTCGGTGGGAAGCCTGCTTCTCCCTCTCCCACTCCCCCTGCTTGTGTTCCCTCTCTCACTGTGTGTCTCTCTCTGTCAAATAAATAAATAAAATCTTAAAAAAAAAAAAAAGACAATGGGTAACATGCACTACTCTGTTTAATCTTCAGAAGGAAGATATGTTTTCTCCCACTTCTAAAAGACTTTGGTCTTGCAGCTTTGTGGTAACTAGTGATATTTTTGTTTTTATTTGTTAAACACAAGGACATGTCAGCTGAATTTTAAAATTTACATATTGTATGTCCTTAAATTTTGAAAGTAAAATGTTTCTGATTTTGACTAAATTTATCAAAAGCATTCAGAAAAACGTAGTTGGTGTTTTCTAGTTAGCTGACCCCCAAATCTTTTGTTCCTAAAGGTAATCTTGAAAACTTCTGCAGTCACCATTTAAATGTATGCATACAGACCTCATAACTGATTTGAAAGTGAATCAGGCAATATTAATCCGTGTTTGGTTCATCTTTTTATTTAAAGGAAGTCAAAGCACCACAGAAATAACATTTCACAATTTTCAGTTGAGAGCATAGGGATGGAAATTCTCATTTCACTGAGAAGGCCAGTTGCAGAGTGAGGGCTGGGATTTTCCTGGCACCCGCAGTGGCCTCTCTCACGGGCATGTTTACTGATGAGGATTATAGAAGATGACTAGGATGGCTCTATTCGCCATCTTACAAGATTTTTCCTGCCCTTTTTTGAGAACCTTACTGTCATGATACTTTTTGGAAAAGCATTAGAGTCCACTCTCTTTGTTCAGGGATTTGTTTTCTTGTTAGTAGATCATTCGGCCCATTTTCTCTTCTCCTTCATTCCTTTGGACTTTTTTCCTTCCAGCTGGCTCCTCACCTTTGAAAATTGAGGTTGAGAGAAGGTAAATTGTAGTATAAGATTGAGCTCTTGTTCCTAATGGCTAAAATATAGGAAGTAGAAGAGAACAGTCAAACACCTTCTTGTAGTTTCATTTTTATGACTCTGAATATTGGCATGCCCTGGTTTCATCCATAACCAGGTTGGCTGTATCTCACACCATGATGGTGTTTATTGGCTCTAATGCCGGTGGTGTTCCCCAGCTGTCCTGTAGACAGGTAGAACCTACCTGTCAGAAGAAAACACTCAAGTTTATCATGGGGAATGTGCAGGCCAACAGTCAAAACATTAACCCTTCATGGGTGCAGTCAGCCCTTTGGTAAAGGATCTAATCGATGAAAATGCTGAAAACTGAGATTTGGCCTAAAATATGAGAGGACCCCTTTCATTTTATTAAATAATAAATTATAATTCAAGGGAATTTTGAACTTAGGGAAAAAATTTGTTTAACTGGCCCACCTTAAAAGAAACTTCCTAAAGGTGCCTTACTCAGAGACAATTGTACAAAGAAAGTAATCATAAAAATATAATTAATTTCTAATAATAAATTTAAACTGTATTTAACTGAGTTCGTCTGTCATACACCTTGAGCTAATGATCTCAGAACTTTCATAAGCTATTCTAAAAATCACTTTCCATTTAATGGCCATTTGTTTACAAGTATAATGGAGTACGGCAGAACCATACCTAGTGTGCTACCAAAAGAAAGGGCTGCACTATGACGTTGTTGTTCTTAAATCTTGTTTTGTATGTATTCTTACAGATTACTTGGTCTGTGTGTGTTTTTAAATTAGTATTTTGGGAACAACTTTTAAAATTTATTCTTAGTAAGTTGCCAAGGCTTTCAACATTGCTAAAAATTGCCTTTTGATATTTGGGGCCTATTTTATCAAATATATTAAGGCCACTGAAGATAGATGCTGTAAGTTGTTTAACTTTTTTGTGGATTAAAAAAACATGTTTCAGATTTAAAAGTTATTATTTAAATTAAAAACTTTTTTTTTTTTGGTTTTTAGTAAGAACTGAAGCCGTATCAGTATTATAAGAATGCATAATATTATTTTTGGTATAGCTATAGGTAGGACCCAGGCCAGTTAAAAAAAATTGTGAAGTAAGTGCAGTTTGCCCTTTCCAGGTTTTTTGTGTTGTTTTTTTTTTTTAACCTTTTCTATCAGCATCAGTCCCATTTTCCCTCCTTGAACCCTTTCAGTGAGGGGCTTAAAGGTAGTCACCATGCTTATTCATTTTGAATCTCCAGCACTCAGCACCCTGTATAGACTCTGGAAGGCACTCAATAATGATTTGGACTGACCTGATCTCCATGCATGTTCTTTCTCACCAAAGTTATTACAATTTATTCTTTGATTATCCTAGAGCTGATTTAATCAAATTATTACCATAATGTATGTGGTTTAATGAGTTATCACTCCTGTGTGGATTTGAATTTTAAGTAGGGGAAGCCTGAAAAGAGATTGGTTAAACCATAGGAATGAATCAGTAATGGTAGAATTTGGGGTATAAATGGGAAGAGTACCCCTCAGTTATACTATATTAGCTTTCTTGAGAGAAAGTGAAAAAAAATAAAGTGAACATAAAACATTTTCCTCTTCAAGAATTTAGTCCAAAACTGTCACATCTGCATAAAGTGCTTCAAATTATCTTGTTGGCATTTAAAATAGTTACTATTTCAGTTTAAAATGGGGTGGTTTGAGGAGAAGAAAATCAGAATGCCACTTCCCAAAAACAGCAAGAATCTTGCCCTTACGAAATTGTTGGCTATTTTTATTGATTTGTTGTTGACACATTTTGAAACTACCCTTATTTATGAAGCTAATTTCATCATCTTCTTTAAATATTTTTGTATTCAATTCATGCCAGTTGTGTATTTTTACAATTCATGAAACCAGCCAGCAAATTCAAATGATATCCCATTACTCTCCTGTTTATGAACAAACCTCACTTAAAACAAACGGGGTGGTAGAAAACTGAGATTACTATCCTTTACATTCTATAAACTCTTCCAAGTGTTTCTAGATTGCTTAAGGCTTGAAAGCAGCAAAGCTCCCCAAGAGACAGATGGATCAAAAAGAGAAGACTTGCTCTGATGTTCAGGGCGTGAGATGTTGGTGGCAGCATTGTGAGTTCCATCGGAAACGTCCATGCGCTTCACATTACCTGATCTCTACGAAACAACCAGTGTTAGAAAGGCAGTGTTTTTGAGTCTTCTTATATTGGGCACAGCCAAAAGAAAAGAACAATAGGGACGACATTGAAGAGATACTAATTGTGCTGTTACCGCTTCAGCTCATTACTTGGATTTCGGTGTTCATGAGTCCTACGTGTCTGGAACACCTGTGTTTAATAAATATTGAAAACCATTTTGGTTTATACATATTATTGTTTACATGGTAAACAATAACTACTGGGGTGGGGGGTTATACTTTGAAAAGTACAGCTTTTACTCTTATGTTGCCATTCAGAAACTTGATCATTTTTCTTTTGATATGTCGACCTGCAACACTGGGGAAAGGAGAGAGCTGCAGAAATACCCATTTTGTGAATCCCATAAACTTAAAAACATGCACTAGAGCTCAAGAGCCTTACTAGCCTATATTTAAACAATTTAAATTAATCAGTCTATTAAAAAAATGCATTAAGCATCATTAATATGTTACTTCTTGTATCTGGTATAGGAGGTGCTTTAATTTCTTCTTAATATATATTTGAATCCCAGTAATTTGGTGGTATACTGTAGTGCACATCCTTTCTAACTACAGACTGCTTGTCAGATACAAATTACTCACTGCTGTACCCATGAATTTTCCCGTTAGTTATTGGGACAATTCTGATATTGGTACCAATCAAATTGACAGTGCCTTTTTTCCCGCTCCTAGAGATATTGATTTACTTCTCAGGACTAACTGTTAAAGTGTGTGTGAGTCGTGTGCGCATGTGAAAGAGAGAGAATGAGTGTATAGATGTGTGTCTGTGGTATACTGCATATATGTTTTGTATGCCTGCATTTGTATATAGTTTTCCCAACCGTGGGAAGCTATGAAACTAAGAAGTTTTACTCTGTGATGAAAAAATGGATTCAACTACAAAATACCATCAATTTTGGGCAAACTGAATCCTGAATTCGTTGATCCAGCACCTCCTGGAATATTATGTAATTTGCTAGTGAAATTTTCACCAAAATAAAAACCTTCCCCTTATTTTGCAGCTCTTTTCTCTGCCCTCCCCTGTGTTGCAGGTTTGTAATGTTTGAGCACAATTCCTGGGTGAATTTCCTATTTGCCTCTGTGCGTGTTATTTGTGGCAGAGAACTGTGCCCGGTCAGCAGCTCTAGACCTGGAGCCCGTGGACACTATATGCTGGGCTTCAGTGGAAAGAGAGATCTGCTTAATTTTGTCCCAGGTGAAGGAGTCCAGCGGTTCCTAGCCTGGACTACTGGAAGGTTCCCACATCCTCTTTGCCCCATTAGTTGAGATGACTTGCAGTAGGAAATGTCCAGTGAGTGTTAAGACCTTATTGAAAGATGTCTTAGTTTTATAATTTATGTTGTTAGGGCAAAAAGTGAGAATTTTTACTTCCATGTTAAATGTTAAATGAAATAAATGCTTATTTAATCTTTATTTATTAGATGCTTAGCAAACCAGAATCAACAGTTAGTTTTGAAAACTTTCCCATAAATCCTGGGATTTTGGAACTGTGAAGTTGGGTTGGTTAAAACTCAAGCTCTTTTAAATTCCTGGGTGGCAGAGGTGGCCATGAATGACAATAGAATCCTGAACAGCGAAACTTGCAAGTGTTAGTTTATGAATTTTTAACTCTTTTGATGAAGCTAATTAAAACCACTTTTAAAAAAAGCTGCTGCTGACCATTTAAGCAAAGGAGAGGAATACTAAGTTCCCTGGACAGGTAGCATCTGAGTGAATGCCTGTACTCTCTTGCCTGGCGCTTCCTATCATTGGAAAAAGTCACAGTGGGGTTAAACTGTGAACATCCCACCATATAATGTTTTGGGCAACTCAAAAGTTAACTTTTGTAATATGAACATCACTGATTCTTATGCTAAAACATTTATGTTATACAATGACAAATATGTAATATGTTTTAGCATTGCTGAGATACTACCTTGCACAACAGTTCCAAAATCAAAAGATTAATGGGAAGATAGTGCAACTATAAATGCTATTTCTCAATAAATTAGACTCAGCATGGATATAAAAGATTAAGTAGGATTTATTAATGTTTTTTTCATTTTACTTTTCTGATTAAAGCAGGCATTTTAATATACCAATTGGAAAATATATTTTTATATCTATCTATATATATATCCATCCAAAATGTATTACTGATGAAATTTTTTAAAGTGTCTTTTTGGGGAAAAAAAATTGGAAAGATTGAGCCTCAGTCAAATCAGTAGCACTTCATTTTTCCTAAATCTACCTTTAAAGAAGAAATCATCTTTGGATGATCACCTGAATATTTTATTTAGATGCTTTAAAGAATGAACCATGTTACTGAAGACAATACCTGCTTTAAATAAGTTACCTTTTTCAGTTTCTTCCAGTTTGCTTTACTTTGTAGCCCTTAATTTCATAGTATTCTCACTTTTGGCAAGGCTCAATGCACCTTCAAAATTTTTAACAAATAGTAAAGAAGATAGATGCGGTTTTAGTAAATGAAAGAAAGATGCGAAAATTCAGTTTGGATTGGATGAAGGGAATAGTGGCAACCTCAAGCCAAGTGACATTTAATTTTGTTATTGGTCAGAGAAAATTAAATGTGAACTACATTAAGCATTTGGGAAACTAGAATGAACTTCATTCTCCATCCCCCATATTTTCCTAATGTAACGATGGCTGTAACTTTGTTTCATGTCTGGGGAGGACAAAGATAAATAGAAAAGAATGTGAACTTTTAACCATTTTAGGATTTTTTGGGTGAACATTTGTAAAAATAAAACAATTGTAGAAGGAAAGAATATAAAATATAGCACTTGAAGAGCAAATGATATGCCCTTGGTATCCTTGCTTAGCTTATTAACTGATAATACTGTCATAGGATAGGAATGAAGAAATGGAAGAGAAAGCCTTCTGAGTGCATAGAAATTTTAGAAGAGTCAGCTTGCCTGAATGAGCTCAGTAGACCTAAAGGTCATCCTGCCATTTTAGCTAATCTAATTAAAATGTAATCCTTTTAATACTGACACCTGATGTACACACAAGGGTGTCATAAATATCAGTTCAAGTCAGCTCTAGTTCATATGAATAGAGGCCATGTGGAGACAGTGATGCACTTTTTACCAAATTAGGTTAGCAACTTTTTCTATTTGCATGGAGCCTTGTTACTGAATTAAATACTTCTTTCTCTGCATGCTCTTACTTACATAGTTCATTTGCATTTTATTTGCATAGCTCTAGTTAGATTAGAATGATGCATTTCAGCATTAGTTTAACATGCCTGTGTTTTATTTTGTAATAAAAATTCCATATCCAATCATTTGTCACTGACTTATACTCTTTTTCATAATGTTTGCAGCAACCCTTCTGACCTCTGGGACTACTGCAACAGTAGCCCTCGTGAGAGATGGTATTGAACTGGTTGTAGCCAGTGTTGGGGATAGCAGGGCTATTTTGTGTAGAAAAGGAAAACCCATGAAGCTGACCATTGACCATACTCCAGAGAGAAAAGATGAAAAAGAAAGGTACCACCTCCACTGATCGTTCTATGAGGATGCTGTTTATATAGTTCAAGATAGAAATGAAACCTTGCATTTTATTTTTATTTTTTTTTTAAAGATTTTATTTATTTTTTTGAGAGAGAGAGAGAGAGAGAGAGTGCATGCTTCGGAAGGGGGGAGGGGCAGAGGAAGAGGGAGAAACAGGGAGCCCGACTCGGGGCTTGATCCCAGGACTCCGAGATCGTGACCTGAGCCGAAGGCAGAAGCCTAACTGACTGAGCCATCCAGGCACCCCGAAACCTTGCCTTTTAAACTGATTTCATCTTAAGTTTAACCGTGCCTTCATTTCCTGGGTATCATGTCATAGTCTTTTTTTCTTGGACCAGGATCAAGAAATGTGGTGGTTTTGTGGCTTGGAATAGTTTGGGACAGCCTCACGTGAATGGCAGACTTGCAATGACAAGGAGTCTTGGAGATTTGGATCTTAAAACCAGTGGTGTGATAGCAGAACCAGAAACAAAGAGGGTTAAGGTAACAATCTGCAACAGCTGATACACATGCAAGGAATGAAAGCAGGATTGTTTCCAGCTACAGGCTTTCTTAGAAGCCTTAATTAAAGCTAACATGATTTTTAAAGTTTATAGAAGGATAGATGAACTTTTCAGATAAAATAAAATACTGTCCTACTGTAGGATGAAGTGCCTGGTTTTTGCTTTACCCTGCTTGCTGGAATTCGCCTGGTAAAATGGCTCTAGTGCCCTTCCTCACCGACACCTGATCACCCAGTGTCACCACCACTCGGAATCAGACCTTTACCTCCCTTTTGCACCGAGCTAAATAATCGCCCTCCTCCCTTTCTCTGACATCTTTTGCATACTACCAATCAGTGCCCCAGTTACACTACACTTCCCTCAACACACCCTCAACACACACCCAGTTGTGAGCTGACACTTTCCTCTCTGCAAGTGCTAGTACCTAGTACTAAGTAGTAGAGGTTCCCAACGGTGGCAGCAGGGGATTGTTCATTGAATGATTTCCAGTCTTACAGCTACCCCACTTATATTCATTGTGTCTAACAAATACTTACATAGGGTTTACTGTGGGCCAGGCTCTGTCCAGAAGAGCTACTACCACCCCATTTTACAGAGAAAACAAATCTAGAGCATCGGTGAACTCACCTATGTTTGCCTAGCCAAAAAGTAGAGGCAGATTTCAAACCCAGGAAGCCTGGCTCCAGAGACCGTGCTCTCTACCATTACAGCGTGCTTGCCTCTCATCATTTTGCTGTCTAGCTTCTTCCTTTGTGGTGTTACTAAGGACATGTTGGGTTCGTCCTTGGTGGTTGATGCTAAATGTTGCTAATTTTGCCCAAAATCTAGGTCTTCCATTTTCACTGTTAAGCTTTTAAACACAGATGACCACTCAGCAAACCGATAAAATCTTTGAATTTTGAAGACTATTCAGAGGCTGAGTCTGTGTATTTGGTTCTGATTGCAGCTCCATCATGCCGATGACAGCTTCCTGGTCCTCACTACAGATGGAATTAACTTCATGGTGAATAGTCAAGAGATCTGTGACTTTGTCAATCAGTGCCATGATCCCAATGAAGCAGCCCATGCAGTGACTGAGCAGGTGACAGAGCAGAGCTTCTGCTAGAAAAGTCCCGATTTGGGGTGGTGTGGGTGTGGGGGGTGGAGAGAAGAACACCCAGGTGCAGGTCTTGGTACAGCCCGGAGGGGCTACTACGGGCTTGAGATTTCTTTGAAATCTTGTGTTTGAGCCTTCAGTATTACAAGGAATTTTACACTTGACTCCATAATACTCCCAATTTACAAAATGTTTACAATTCTCCCAAGTAGTTAAGTAAAACCTGTGTGCCAGGGAATGTGCTATGTTTATTTTTTGGATTTGTACACACCTTGATATGATAGTAATAGCAACAGGAAATTATAATAATAGTTAATAGTAATATCACTTATTATGTGCCAGACACTCTTCTAGTCACATATATTTAACTCATGTAATCATCACAATAACCTTCTGAGGTTATAGCTAGTATTATCCCTTTCCACAGATGAGGAAAACCGAGGCACAGAGGCTGAGAAGTTAAGTAACTTATTCAAGATTACAAACTTTTAAGTTGCAGAACTGGGCTTCAAACCCAGACAGCCAAGCTCCCAGATTCAACCACTAGACCATTAAACTAGACAGCTCCAAGTAAATATCCGGTATAGGAACACTATAGCATAGTCCACATCTGGTTTTTAAGAAAGGGTGTGTGAGGGGCGCCTGGGTCGCTCAGTCGTTAAGTGTTTGCCTTCAACTCAGGTCATGATCCCAGGGTCCTGGGATCAAGCCCTGCATCGGGCTTCCTGCTCGGCGGGAAGCCTGCTTCTCCCTCCCCCACTCCCTCTGCTTGTGTTCCCTCTCTCGCTGTGTCTCTCTCTGTCAAATAAATAAATAAAAATCTTAAAAAAAAAAAAGGGTGTGTGAAAAAAAACAAATTCAGAAAGATGTATGGATAGGTTATGTATGAGTATGTCTCTCAGAGATAAAATTGGGAATACCCAGTAAAGAAAATGTAAAATTTCCATGTGCTCTTTAATATTCTATTAGATATTATCTATATCTTTGAAGATACCTAATAGATAGCTCTTCGAAGTTATAGCCATCGCTGATCATTAGAGTCATGCTTTAATTTAACAGCTACTTCTGCATTTCCCAATTTTTACATTTGCAACTGGGAAGGCAAATTTAGCCCAAACTTTTAAGTGCTAATATTTGTAATTAAGACTTAAGAACTCACTTAAAAAGCATTATTTGTTTGAAAATAGATGCGCAAGCATGAAGTATTCCCTTGGTTACTACGTGTGTTCATGAGATTACAGAAATGGCCCCAATCCTGTAGATGATCACTTCTTTTCTCATTTCACCTCCCTGTCTTAGATATGTGTGTTCTCATTCACACAGGCAATGATATTTTAATGACTGCATGGTATTCTGCTATATTTGTGTACCATAATTCTTTTACTATTTCCCCTAATCAGCAAATTTAGTTTATGTTCACTTTTCCATATTATAGGGAGGGAGAGCACTGTATAAACGTTCTTGTATCTACTTGTGCATGTCTATTTCCTCCATATATTATTTTCTCAGGTAAAGTTCTTAGAAAATTGCTAGATAAAACGATACACTGTATTCTAAAACTTTTTTAAAAAAATATTTATGTATTAAAGAGGAGAGAGAGAGAGATCATGAGCAGGTGGGAAGGGTAGAGGGAGAAGCAGACTCTGCGTTGAGCAGGGAGCCCGATGCAGGAATCGATCCCAGGACCCCGGGATCATGACCTGAGCTGAAGGCGGACACTTAACCAACTGAGCCACCCAGGCGCCCTATTCTAAAACTTTTAATAAGCTTGCCAAATTGCCCTCCAGAAATGCTATTCCAAGTTACACTTCTCTCTAGCATGTTTAAAAATTTCTGTTTCGGGGGGCGCCTGGTGGCTCAGTTGTTAAGCATCTGCCTTCGGCTGGGGTCATGATACCGGGGTTCTGGGATCGAGCCCCGCATCGTGCTCCCTGCTCCGCGGGAAGCCTGCTTCTCCCTCTCCCACTGCCCCTGCTTGTGCTCCTTCTCTAGCTGTGTCTCTCTCTGTCAAATAAATAAAATTAAAAAAAAAAAAAAATTTCTGTTTCGGGCGCCTGGGTGGCTCAGTCGTTAAGCGTCTGTCTTCGGCTCAGGTCATGGTCCCAGGGCCCTGGGGTCGAGTCCCACATCGGGCTCCCTGCTCTGCAGAGAGCCTGCTTCTCTCTCTCCCGCTCCCCCTGCTTGTGTTCCCTCTCTCACTGTGTCTCTCTCTGTCAAATAAATAAATAAAATCTTAAAAAAATAATAAATAAAAAATAAAAATTTGTTTCTCCAAATGCTTATTATAGTTTTTTGCCAGTTTGATAGGTAGAAAAATCAAATTTTAGTGTTTTAAATTTGCATCTTTTTTCTTTGTTGGTGGAACTAACCATTTGCACAGGTTTGTTAGACCCTTGTATTTCTTGTCTGTGTATAGCATTTTCCCATTTTTTTATAGGCATATTTGTCTTTTTCATGGTTATTGTAACAACTTCCTATATGTTAAATATATTAGTACTTTGATGTTGCGAACTTTTTTTTGGTCTTTCAATTTGTAAAACTTTTTTATATTTTGATGCTTTTTATTTTTTTTTAATTTTTTGAAAAGATTTTATTTATTTATTTGTCAGAGAGAGAGAGAGGGAACACAAGCAGGGGGAGCAGCACGCAGAAGCAGACTCCCCGCTGAGCAAGGAGCCCGATGTGGGGCTCGATCTCTGGACCCTGGGATCATGACCTGAGCCGAAGGCAGACGCTTAATGACTGAGCCACCCAGGTGTACCAATATTTTGATGCTTTTTATATTAGATATTTTTATCAACCCTTTCCCTCACAGTTTTGGCCTCAGGCTATTAATTCTTTTGAAATACATTTGCTGTTGAATATAATCCCGAGCACTTCTTACAATGCTGACTATGTCATTTGCTATTTGTTTTGTTTTGTGTTTTTAAAAGATTTTATTTATTTATTTGACAGATAGATTGAGAGAGAGCACAAGCAGGGGGAGTGGCAGAGGGAGAAGCAGGCTCCCCGCTGAGCAGGGAGCCCAGTGTGGGACTCGATCCCAGGACCCTGAGATCATGACCTGAGCTGAAGGCAGACGCTTGACCGACTGAGTCACCCAGACGCCCTGTCATTTGCTATTTGAATTAGTTCTTAAAATTGATTTACAGTTCTCCTACTGTAGAAATTTAGTTTATGCCACTTTTCCATTTTGTAGGGAGCATAATAAACCTTATTGTTGTTATATCTTATACACTTTCATTTCCTTAGGTTATTACTTTTTACCTTGTATTAGTCCCTGTGCTAAATGCTTTATTTTCTTCTTCCAGAGCATATCTTGATCTTAGTCCACTGGTATTTCTGTTGCCAAAATTGCTACAGTGGAATATAGTTAATATGGTTGTTTTTTTGGGGGGGGTCCTCTGTTATTCTATGTACAATCTAATACACTGTGTGGAGCTTGATGCATGTTGAATGAATGCGAAGTAACTGGGTTAGTAACTATTTTGAACGAGATTATAGCCTTCCAGAGGAATGGTGATTTTTCTTTGTACGGACTCTGATTTCCCGTGTTTTCTTCTTCCTTCTGCCAAACCTTGCAGGCAATACAATATGGTACTGAAGATAATAGTACTGCAGTAGTAGTGCCTTTTGGTGCCTGGGGAAAGTACAAGAACTCTGAAATCAACTTCTCATTCAGCAGAAGCTTTGCCTCCAGTGGACGATGGGCCTGAATGCTTGCTGGGACTTCGAATTTCTGTGAAACAGTTTTTCACCAAGTATGTCAAGAAACTTACTAGATCAAACTCAAAAGTCACCCGACACAGGGTGACTCTCTGACTCACTAGATTAGTACACAGTGTAAATGTCAGTGTAAGTCAGTGTAAATGTCCTAACCATTTACACTGTAGTTTTTCATAAATATCTGTTATATTTATGTTTAGCTGTACATACTCAGTATAAATATGTGTGTAATTCAGTTATTGTGAGTCTCGAAGTTGAGTGAGCAAATGAAAAGTGGTTTTGACACACTTGCTGAGTGTTACATTTCTAATTTTTAAAACTCTTAGGCAGCTATGAGTTTCTTTTGATCATTTTTGTTCTTTATTCATTTGAACGGATTCTCACCAAGTTTTTCAACATTAGTAGGTATTTTGACAGCTCTGCAATGTGTTAGCTGCAAGAGTTTGTTTTTAATAGTTCTACCAAAGAGTGAGTGTGAAAACAGAGTTCTGTGTGACTATATTTTGTATTCTGGACCACTTACTAGTAAATTTCACAATGCAAAAGACATTAATTCAGATAATATGACATTGCTAAAGTATGTGCGTATTTATAACAATGCACTTTCGTATTTCAGCTGTGTCCCTTGGTCTCCATTCTTCTTTTTTCTGTAGCTAAGAATGCTATACAGATACACAGACTACTCCTTCATATCAGAAAAATATGCACAGGCTGTGTCTTTTGGTCAAAGCTATACAAACTTAAATACTGACAGCATCAGGTATTTTGTATGAGGTTTCCATTTGTTATCTCTAACTTTGTGTTTTGTGTATTGTATATAGTATGCTTATATCACTTCTTGTATAGAGTAAGCAAGTTGGATAATGCGTCAGTAAAAATAATACCACACTGACTGACAATGCTACATAGTGTGAGGTTTATGTCTCCTTTTCGCTTATTTCTATGATTCATAACAATAAATCTAGAACATTAAAGTATTCTATATTTCAGCTTGCTAATGTAACTTAGGAATGTAAAACTATACTTCTTTATATCTGCATGTACGTTTGCTGTTAAAATGTGAATCTCTACATGCATGTTTGGAATTGTATCTGCAGTTTATTTTGGCAGACAATGTAAATTTCTTATATGTGTGGGTGTATGTACATATGTAAATTTTGGAGTAATAGAGAGTTAAAGGGAACAATCCTGCATAGCTCCTTCACCAGTTAGCTTTAAATTATTGATATGTTTATCCCCAAGGACTCTTGACAAACAGAGGGCAGTTTTATAGCAGAGAACCAACGGTTATTGGCAGGTGAGGAAGTGAATTTAAAATGGCTGTAGGAGATATTTTATGGTGGCTAATTCATGTGGAATACACAGAAGCAGACTAGCATGTTGAAGCTACATTGCTATATGGTAATTTGCAAATAAAATAATAGGATGTGAGGAAAATACTGAGTGTTAAGAATGATATGGAGTTTTGTTGTAGAAACAAACAAAAAAACCAAGAAGATAAAGTTGGTGAAGTGTATACCTTCCACTCTCAGTTTTCATGGTCGACTTGTTTTCTGTCTTTATGTTTTTATTTAAAGGTTTGTTAGAAGGAAGATGGCCCGATATAAATATTCACATCTTCTTATCTTTTGGGGAATGGAAGAATATGAATCTTGAGTTTTCCTGCATTTATTAATCAGAAATTTTCCTTTGATAAAAAAATTGACAAAGAAATATTTCATTTTCACGGGGCACCCGGGTGGCTCAGTCGTTAAGAGTCCGCCTTCGGCTCAGGTCATGATCCCAGGTTCCTGGGATCGAGCCCTGCATGGGGCTCCCTGCTCGGCAGGAAGCCTGCTTCTCCCGCTCCTGCTCCTGCTGCTGGTGTCCCCTCTCTCGCTGTCTCTCTCTCTGTGTCAAATAAATAAATAAAATCTTAAAAAAAAAGAAAGAAATATTTCAATTTTTTTTCCCAAGGAAGCCGAGTGAAAGTAAAAAATATTACAGGAAAGAAAATAGTCTCCTGTTCCTTGTCTGGGAAGTGAGGAACCAAAGGTAGGCTAAGAAAGCTGGAAAGCTTTCTTGCTCTTTCTGACGTATGTTTAGGTCCCAGAACCTACATATAGAAGCTTCACTTAGGAGTATGGAGAATTTCCAAACTAACAAGCAAATGAAAACTCTAAAGCACAAAATGACATTCTGAAAATGTAGGTTTCATTTTTTATCTGAATTCTTCACAGGGTGGGAGTGATGTTGTCAAGCTCAAAAGTCACTGATGCACTGAGGCACATTGCCAGGTTTAACAAAGAGGAATCTGTAGGGTTGTCTAGGCCTTGGTTTGGGGTGGACTTTGCTCTGCTTCACCTGAAAAGCTTTTAAAACTCGAAATCAATCAACTTTGACTAAAGCATAAAAACATATTGGTGTTTGTTTTTTAAGCCACAGTGTTGAAGTATAATTTGTAGGTTATTGTAATCCACAAAAGATAATAAGCCTACAAGGAATATGCAAATAGTAGGGGGAAAAAAGACTATTCTAAATATAGTTTTTTAGCTATAACTGTGAATTTGCCATGTGGCTATTACCATGTGGGTGTAGGTATAGTGTAGATTATATATTAATGTAATTAAACCCAAATCCGTTATAATTTACACTTGCCCTTCATTTATATGTAGTATATAAATCATCTTTATCAAATGTGTTGCCAAACTATTTGCCAACACTGACTTGGCAAAATATTCTTTTTTTTTAAAGATTTTTATTTATTTATTTGACAGAGAGAGATAGCAAGAGCAGGAACACAAGCAGGGGGAGTGGGAGAGGGAGAAGCAGGCTTCCTGCCGAGCAGAGAGCCCGATGCGGGACTTGATCCCAGGGCCCTGGGATCATGACCTGAGCCGAAGGCAGACGCTTAACGACTGAGCCACCCAGGCACCCTTGGCAAAATATTCTTAAAATCATTGTGATTTTTCACAAGTATAAGTTCTTAAGTACCTAGTATATTCAAAAGTAAATGCTGTCCTGCTCTCCATCAACTGTTTATTTGTTGTAGATTTTTGTGTTTAAGTGCTTCAAAGTCTTATGCATTTTTCTTCTGAAAAAAAAATTTGTTTTGAATCTCTGCACTCTATGATGTGAACTTTTCTCAAGTTCCAAAATTAAAAAGAAATTACTTGCTTTGAAGAATTATTAGCACATAATCTGAATAAAAATTATTTTTTCAAAGAGGAATTTGATTTTTTTTTTTTTTATTAAGAATACTGGCAGAGAATGATTTAGGTCTATGCTAACTCCTCAATGTCAGACAGGACATTTAGTTTCTAAGAATGGACAAGCATTTAATTTCAAGGTAATATGATAGTAGGAAAATGCTTCAAGGCGGGGGAAGGCATGGTTAAAGTTTAGCATCAAACAGTCAAATACAAACATGGATTTGTATTTAGCACTTCATTTTTTCACATACTCTTATCCATGGAAAGTGACATAAAATTTTGGTTGGATTACATTTTATTGTACTTACTAGATTCACTTACCTGGATGACTTAAGCAGAAATAAAATGCCGTGTCTGCAAGCCAAATTCTGATGACCTCCCTGTTGCTTTTGGTATCTGGAATGAGACCCATGGACTTGGGCAGCTCCCACTGGTTGTTAGGTGGCTCAGATGGTCCACTGATGGTCAGTTGAATATTCTGGGCTGTGAAACAATAGAGTTTTTCCCCCCGCCAAGAATGACTCATCCAGTACATTGGATTCCAGTACAAAACTTAGCAGCTTAATGTGTCCCAAGTTAATTTAATTTCTGCTGAAGTTCACCTGTGTACACTGTTTTACAATTTAACCAAAGTGCTACTTGGGTGTACTTTGTACTTTTTTCTAGTGAGTTGATGTAATTGCTGCTTTGACCATTGTTTTAAATGTATGTATTAGAGTAACTGTGAACAGACTAAAATCATATATCTCTGTGTTCAAAACACCATTTTAATAAAGTACATCCATTAAACACTTTTTAAAAATCCAAGTGTGTTTATTTGGAATCCAGACTCCCAATTTTTATTATGTGATCCTGTGAATACTGATATACAAGAGCCAATGAATGGTTGGGAAGTTAGTAGCCAAAATCAGGATGTTTGCAAAATTAGTTTGAAGATTCTTTGAAAAAAAAATGTATACACTTATCTATTCAAATTTTTTTGATTTGATCTGAAAGAAAATTTGTCTTTTTATTTCCCTCTTCCAAAATATTTGTTGGTACATCAGAGGAAAATGGTCATGATGATATTTTAATATTTTGCATGTAGTATATTTCACTGTAGCATTTCTACGTATTTAAAAAAGTAGAAATAGGGGTTTGGCAGTGATCCTGCAGATCTCAGCATTATGCATTTAACATAAGCAATTTTTAATGTCCTGTTGTTACTTGAATAGTTGCATTCCATTGGCGCAAGGATCTCTTCTATATTGTATTCCCTGAAGGTAACTTGGTAAAACTCCATGGCAGCAGAGATCTGTCTGTCCTGTTTTGTTCAAACTCCATACCTAGCACTCTTTATAGGTTTAGCAATGAGGAGAAAATGTTGAATCATTGATCATTAATGTTTGTTGAGTAAGTTAATGCATTGAATTATACTTTTACTGATTTTATTTTAGTGGGGAAATGGACATTAGATACCTTAAGTATTAAGCCAAACATAGTATTTAATGGTAAAGGAATGACTTGTCACCCCTTTTGGTGTTTCCTTAGACCATGATCAGTTATGCCTTTGTGTATATATGGTTCAGAATCTTGTTCTGAACAAAAATCTACAAGAGCAGTGCGGCATGAATGACTCTAACCTTGCTCTTTTGAAGATTCAGAAGGGGAGATGAACATTAAGGGTCTCTTCTGCATATACTATCTCATTTATTCTTTACAACAATCACACAGGGAAGCCTTTCTAATTATCCTTTTTACAGATGAGGAAATGGAGCCTTTGTCAGCTCATAATGGCAAGATCCAATTCAGACCCCTTTGACTTCAAAGTCTATGTTCCTTCTAGTCTACCATAGCCTCCTTTTGTGCATTAGCAAAAGCAAAACCAATTCACTACTGTCAAACATCTATGAACATCTATTTGCAGAAGGTTCTCTGGTGCACATGAAAAATAATTACAAGAAATGATCCAGAAACTCTGAGCAGATAGATGAGCATAGTAGAGATAGTAACTGAGCATCTATCACAAAAATAAATTAGGGCAGAGAATCAAATTATATCCAAGCCAAGTAAGTATAACTGGGGAGTGACTGAATGAATGAACAGAATTACTGCTTTAAACAGTAGAGGATTTAGATGATTTCTTATGGAAGTCTAATAAGTCAGTCTACCAATGATAAGCATTTACTGAGAACCTATTGCATAGGTCTGTAAATGACACCAGCTTGGGCCTAGCAGGGCTTGGGGAAGGTAATGGTTGATTATCTCCC